CTTCCCAGCACACTTAGGGCGATCAGGGGGGTCATCGGAGACGTCCCAGAGACCCCCAAGACAGCACAAGAGCGCTCCAAGAGTGACCGCCGTGACCTCAAGATGGCCCAAGAGGCCTCCAGGACGGCCCCAAAGAGGCCTCCAAGAGCACTCCCAAGAAGGCCCCCCGAGGCAAAAATCATTGATTTTCTGATGTTTTTTGGTGAATTTTGGGGTTCTCCTCTTTTCGGCTTCCCGACGCTCCAAGACGGCGGTCTTCTGGGCGTCCGAAGCCGCCTGGGAGGCTCCCAAATCGCCCCACAACCATCCGAAAGGGCTTCCAGGCAGTCCATGAGAGCCCCAAAACGGCACAACACGGGTCCAAGATGGCCCTCAGAGAGCCCCATGGCGGCCCAAGATGGCCCAAAGACACCCTCCGAAGAATTCCAAATCGTGATTCGGTCGTTCAGGGAGACGGCGGTTGGAGGCAGGGTGGCCCGAGGAAGCCCCCGGAGGCCCCCAGAATACGCCCAGGAGGCCTCCAGAAGGCCTTAAGAAAGCCCGAAACAACTTTTGTGAGGCCCATAGAGGCTCTCCAAGGAGGAGCTTCCGCAAAAAAGAGCTGAGGAGGATGTGGAGAATGCGCAGGGTATGGCGAAAATATGGAACAATAAGCATGGAGGAAGGATAACGAATAACATCATTATAGCGGCGATGCCGGAAAAGGCAACCAGGAGTTATCGCTAAATTGTCGGCTTGACCTTCCTGCCATTCCGCCTGCAAACCAAAGTTCAAGGACCAAGGTGCATGGCGCGAAGCGCCACTGCAGTCTTTATATTTATATATATATATATAGATATGTATGCACAAACATACATGTTACATTGTAGATCATTATCCTCCTCCCTCCTCCTGCTCCTCCTCCTTCTCGTCCTCCACCCCCCGATACGAGGCTGAAAAAGCCGCGCAAAGGATGCTGGCCACAAACACATTCGAGCCTCGATCGGTTTCAGAGCTCCAGAGGTGTGCGTTGCCCGCCCTCCTCCCCCCTCTCATCCATCCCTTCTTTCTCTCCCCCCCTCCCTCGCCTCCGCGCGATGCCGCCCCAGAGGGCCGCCCGCCGCCGCCGCCCACCGCCGCCGCCGCGCGAAGACGACGGGCCGCGCGGGGTCGGCGACCCCCCCGCGCCGCGCACTGCCGTGCATGGTGGCCGCGGCGGCCGCCTGCGCGGGGAGGGGCGGCGGGGTTGAGGAGGTGGGGGGCTCGTTCCCAGCACGCGGGAGGGGGGAGAGGGCGGGGGAGGGGGCTGGAGAGAGGGATGGCGGGAGGGGGGTGGGGGAGGGGGATGGGGGGAAGTCTTTCCCAATATTCGAGGAAGCGCAAACGTGGATCAAGCCGCGTGGATTGGTGACGGGTCCCGCTTCCATGTGAAGCCCGCGCGGACCGACCCGATCCCAGGAGCGCGTTCCCGCCTGGCGAACGGAAGGCGGTCGCGCGCGAGATCAGGGGGAATGGTACGTACGGCTTCGGGCTGCGCGCAGACAGCCCCATCCGGGTAGTCCCGGCTGGCCTCAGCAACTCCCCGGGTAGCCTGGGGCGTTCTCAACACCCTGGCGGCGCCTTTGGGGCGTTCCGCGCCCCGGGAGTGAGGTCTTGAAAGGCCTCTTGAGGCCAGCCATGACTACGGGGGTTGTCTGTGCGCAGCCCGAAGATTTACCAAGGAGGGGGCGGAAGAGGAAAGTGAGGAGGAGGCAGAGGAGGAAAACGAGGAGGAGGAGGAGGAGCAGCAGGAGGGGGAGGAGGAACAGGAGGAGGAGGAGGAGGACCAGAGCAAACCCCAGATGCATCAACAGTGCTGCATTATACTCTTCCACCTACAGTCCCAAATCCCCTCTTCACAATTCCCTGCAAGCCTTCCTTTTCACTACAAGGGGCACCCCCCCTTGAAACACCACCGCCCCACTGACCTTCCATTCATGCGAGGGTTCCGTTTTGAAAAGGAACTGGTCCCGCAAGATCTCCGAGCCTCTGGAAGTCCATGCCTGGCCGTGCAAACGGGTTGGCGGCGGTCCCAAGACATCCCCAAGACGGTCCAAGGTGGCTTCCGGCGGCCCTGGACCGCCGCCAGACGCCCGAAGACGGCCCAAATATCCCCCCCCAAATGTTTTCGAAACCCAGCAAAGGTTGATTTCTTGTTGGTTTCTGTGCTGCTTTGGGCTGCTCGACTATCCAGTCATTGGCTACGCTCCCCTCGCGTGTTTCTTAATGCCGCGCCGCCCTTCCCCTGCAACTGAGGCTTGGCGGCGCCATCGCATCAACATTGGCACTGTACTTCGCAGCCGAATGCGTGCTCATTAACAGGTGCGCGCGCGGCCGGCCGGCCTCCCGCCCTCGGTCGGCTGTACCATGCGCGTATACATTCGCACATCCGCTGAACGGACATCTTAACCATGGCGTCAAGCACATCCTCTCCGATATTCCATTCGGGACCACTGTGTTGAATTGCCTACCAGAAAAGTCAGACCAAGAGCCTGTGCGCCAGATCGAGATACTGCCCGAATCCATGACGAATAAGCAGAGTGCTGACTACCAGCCGGAAGCTTCACCAGGAGATCGCGAAGCTGTGGTTTTCGTTTCGAATGTGTACCAAATGAGGAAAAGAAATGCCACGGCTCAAAAGGACTCCGAATTATCCCCTTCCAGGCCGAGTCCCCTGATGGCGTCAGGGGCTCCGACTCGCGTTTCTTGCAGAATCTCACCAAGAGTTTCTCGCTATCGTCGGGAGATACGCGGGCAGACGAGGACCCCAGCCGCCGTGGCACTCCACGAACGGGCGCACACGAGGCGGAGGCGGACGCCGCGTGGCACGGATCAAGCAATCCGGGCAAGCACCCATTGCTGGCCAGCGTCCATCAGGCCTACATGATTTCCTTCGAGTCATCAAACGAGCAGGATGAACACGTCACTGTCTCGTCGGAAGGAAGGGGATCAGTCAAGTCGATTCCCCGCCTGAACCGGGGAAGGGTTGCTGCCTCTCTTCCGGGGAGCGACTCCGAGGCTTGCGGTCTCGGGTCGCCCCCAACATCGGTTCAGGAACCATCGCTGGCTTCAGTGCCATTCGACGACTGCGTCGCCGAGACCTCGAGGGAAAATCTGCAAGGCGCGATGGCAGAGATGATGGCAGGCCTGCGCGCGGCCGCTCCGCAGATCGCCGAATCGGCAGCCGAGTCGAGAGCGCCCGCAGCGACGCAGCCACGGGAGGCCATCAGCCCGTCAGTCAGGTCTTCGCTCGCGCAGCGGACCAAGACGAAGGGCATGCTGGAGGAGGACCAGATGCTCAACTCGGGGGGGGGGGGCAGGGGCTGCGCTCTTGAGCCACCTCCCCCACTTGTCAGTCCGCAGCGGACCCTGCGCGCAGGACACCTGAACCTCAGCGCGACGAGGGCCGCCATTCCTCGCGCTCGCTCTCCGCGGGCCAGGGGCCCCGGGGTCTGACCGACGCAGCAGGGCGTCGAGGGCCCCGTCGGGAGCAGCGTCTCTCTCCGCTCGCACGGCGCGCTCCGACGCATCGAGTTTCCGCATCAATGAGCCAGTCATGCGCCAACAGAGGCCCAAGGTGCGCGGCATCTCCTGAACGCTGTTGCTCGGGAAATCGAGGACAGTGTGACAAGGCAGTCTGTCGTGGGCGCTGTGTCAGTTGAACACCTGTGCAATTTGATATTCCTCGGCCCGGATTGTCATTCCCCTCTCGCGCATAGCTACACGGCGCCGAGTGGCCTTGAGTAGGGGCAGGCCGAAGAGAGAAGGCGGGAGGCAATGTTCGAAGAAATGGGCCGGGAGCCGCCGCAAATGAGTGACCAGACCGCGAGACGCGATGTTCTACAGCGCGCGGGGGGTCGTGTCCAGGCCGAGAACGATCGCGTCGCAATGATTCGCGCCATGGAGCAGACCGAGGGGAGGCGACGGGCCGTCGCCTCAGAGCAGGCGACGCGAGCATCAGCAGAGTTCTGCGAACTGGCCAGCGGGGTCGAGGCCTCGGCGGCCGCCGAGAAGCGCGCTCAGGACTTCGAACAGAGCGTCGCCGACGAGGCCAAGCGCGTCGCCCAGGGGGCCGGGGGGGGGGGGGCCCAGCGGGTGACGATGGCCAGAGTTGCTGAAGAGCTAAGGCGGCTGAGGCACGCGACGCTCTCTTCGGGGCGGAGGCGCCGGCGGCGGCGCGACGGGCTCAGGCCGATCGAGCGGCCGCCGACGCCGCTGCGAAGACGGCGTCGGCCGAGAGCGCGAAAGCGACGAGGCAGGCGCAGGGCGAAATCAGCGACGCTCTCCATCGGGCGCAAGCCAAGCCCAGGCGGCAAGCGCGAACTGCGTTCACGCGGCCGCCGAGACTCGCGACGCGCTGGAGAGGACTCAGCGGATCGATCCGCCAGCAAATGACGAGGTGACCACGGCCCGGAGTGCCAAGATTAGAGCGACACGGCCCATGGATAATTGGGGGGCGCAGCGCGGCCAATAGCGCCGACGCGAGGCCGGACTTCGCGCGCGCCAGCAGTTGGAGAAGCAAGCTTCCCAGATGAACGTCGGTGCGGCCCAGGTCGCCGCCGTCGGCGCGGCTCCTCCGCGGGCGGGGGTCCCCGGGCTGGCCGCGCTCGCGCCGCGCCCGGGTGGGCCCCGGCGCATCTTGCGCAGCGCAGTCGCGGGCCGCGACTGCGCGCGGCGCGCCTGGTCGTTTCGCGACGTTCGCTTGAAGACTTCGCCATTTGCGTCGACGATTCGGCGGAGAAGGACGGGGGGGCTGAGAGGGGGCGCGGAATGGAAGAGGAAGAGGAACGCGAAGCGAGAAGGGCATTCGAGGAACGGATCGCCTTCCAGTCCGCGCCTGGAGCGAGACCCTCTGACTGCCCGCCGCTGCCCGGGGCGTCTCGAGGCTGCGCCGCGAGCGCCTCGGAGCGCGCAGAGGGGCAAGCTCGGGGCAGAAGGCGACGTCTCCGGACGTCTGAGGGCGCTCGGGGGTTCTGCCGGGGCCGAGCGCCAGAGGCTCTCGGATATGCCCGCGGGAGCGATGCGGCGCGCGGAGGGCCGCGTCGAGGCGGAGGCCAGGAGGCAGGGGCCGCGCGCCGAGAAGCGCGCGGAGGCTGCCGCCGCCGCCGAAAAGCAAGCTGAGGAGGAAGAGGGGGGACCCAGGGAGGAGGCAGAGCGCCGCTCGAAGCATGGGGAGACAGCGGAGCGAGCCCAGGCGGCCCCCGCCACCTCGTTCCCCGGACACGCCCCGCCTGGCCCCGAAAGGCCAGCCGGCGGCGAGGGCGGCGCTTTGCACGGCGGGGGGGGGGGGGGGCGGGAGCAGCCCGAGCCAGCCGGGCAGCGCCGGCCAGGCAGCAGCGCGTTTCTGGCCCGCCAAACGATGACGACGATGATCAGGTTGACGATTGGGACGAGGATTCCCGCGACTCCGACTCGGAGGACGACGAAGACGAGTCATCCGACGAGGAAGATAGCGACGAGGGCGACTGTTGGCGTGGCCGATGCAACGGGCGGCCAGGCGGTCCGCCTCGCGGCGGAGACAGAGGCGGGGCCATCCCCGACGGCGCACGGGACGCCGCCGCCTATTGGAACGACGCTGGTAAGACGGAGAAGGTCAGCGTCGAGCCCGTCCCCGACGCAGCTGGCTATAGGAGATCGAGCAGAAACGTAGTCCGCCGCTTCGCGCCGTGCTATCCCAACTGGCAGCAGGCCGCAGAATGAATGGATCCTGGGCGCGCTCAAAATTCAGAAAATCAATGCTGAGGCGTCGCAGGACTTGTGCAAATTTGGCCGGCTCGACTTAATGATCGCGTCAGATCTGATGGGCAAGATCAAGCTGGTCTCGAAGGGCCCGAAATCGTCATCTAGCTAGCGAGATCGATCGCCTTGACGCCGCCATGCACAAAGAGAAACAGATGCTGGAGGGTTGTGCAATTATGCGAACCATTGCCGCGCGCGTGACCACCCGTGAGGACCGCGGCCAGGCGCGCGCGCATCAGGACTTGATGGATATCAAGATTCGCGGTGCGGGCAAGGGAGCGGACGCCAATCTCTATTGCTTCTACGACGAGTGGGTGAAGATCATGAACGAGATGGATAAGCCTCACACATCAGTCCGCCCTTCTACCCAGCCACAGTTATACAAGGACATGAGAAAGTGCCCGCGCATGTCCATGAATCCCACCATGCGTGATCACAGCAACGACGGGCGTGGCAAAGGGGTGAAACCACGTGGGCGGTTGCTCGGGCACGTCAGCAGGCGCGCGCAAGCGGGCCGAGGCCCCCGCGACCGCGCCGCACAACGAAAACAATTCAACGCCCGCGGCCTCTCCGCGGGGGGCGCGCGCGGCAGCGGGGGCGGGGGCGGCGGGGGGGGCGGAAATCGGGGCGAATATTCCTTCTGCGTGAAGGGTGGCCGCCTCGGGAAGTCGGCGGCCTGCGTCAGGTGCGCCGCGGGGGCCTGCCCCCGCGCGCGCTCGACGTGCCCTTGCTTGCGCGCGCCCCGAGAATGGCGCCCCGGCCCGGGCCGCGCCCGCCTCGCCCGACGCAGCCCTGGGCGGCGGCAAGGGCCAGGGCCAGGAGAAGGAAAAGCTGAAGCCCAAGGGAGAGGGAGAGGAAAAGGTTCGCGGCAGGAACCGAGGCCGCGGATATGGCAAGGCGAACGCAGGCGGTGACCGCCAGAGGGCCCGGATTCCCGCATCCAGCAGGAACTCCTCGAAGAAGGGGCTGCGCCGCACATTCGGCAGAGGCTCTTGCCCCCTCGCGCCAGATAAGCGCACGCGACGGCATCGGACGATCACTGCCGAAGAAACGCTTTCTCGCGACGCGCGGGAGGCACATCTTGAGAAGACTGGGGAGCCCGCCCCTGCAAGCACAGCGCCGACCGCATCTCCGCCGCAACTCAGAAAATCAGGAGGAACGCAGCCCCCAGCGGGATGGGCGACGGCAAGGCGAATGGCAGCACGGGGGTGGGCAAGGGCAAAGAAAAGAGGCAATGCTGGAGGTTCCTGGCCAGTCAAACTTGCACCTTTGGAAAGGAATGCCGGGCCCCGGTCGGCGCCCGGGGGCGCCCGCGGCGCGGGGGGTCGGTCCCCAGCGACGGCGTCGCCGGCGCCGGCCTGAGCGGGGCCGACGCAGACCGTGCCTGTCCCGCCCCGATGAGGGGCGCAACGCTGCGCGCTGCCCCCGCTATTCCCCGCGCCAGATCTGGCTCCCGCGCGTTGCCTATGGGGCTGATGGCGCGTCCTGACAGGGCAACTCGCGTAGGTCATCAAAGCAGCATTGAAAAACTAGTGTTAGTTTGCACAGGGTGTCTAGAGGTCCGACCAGCCCATTCCGCGTCGCACCGCGCCCCCTCCTTCCCCGCCACCCTCCTGCCCCTCCCCAGCTCGCCCCAGTGGCCCAGTGGAACCTCCGCCCAGCGCCTCCTCCGATTCCGCGTCGCCTCGCGCTCGCCCCCCGCTTCCGCCCGCCCCCCCCATCCCTCGCCAGCCACAGCGGTTCAGCGGAATCGTCGCCCAGTGCCTCCTCCGCCTCGACAATTTCATTCCGCGCCGCACCGCGCCCCCCTCCCCCCCAAGCGTTCCCCACAGGCGCAGTGTGACCTCCGCCCAGTGCCCCTCCGCCCCGACCATGTTATTCCTCGTCGCACCGCGCGCCCCCCCCTCCCCGCCCCCCTCCCAGCTCCCCAGCGTGCCCCAGCGGTGCCCCCTCCGCCCCGACCATTTGATTCCGCGTCGCACCGCGCCCCCCTCTTCCTCTCCCCAGCGTTCCCCAGAGGCACAGTGTAGCTCCGCCCAGTGCCCCTCCGCCCCGAGCATGTTATTCCGCGTCGCACCGCCCCCCCCTTTCCCGGCCCCCCCCAATCTTCCCCAGCGTGCCCCAACGGCCCAGTGGAACTTCCGCTCAGCGCCCGCTCCGCCCCGATTATTTCATTCTCTCGCGCGGGTTGTCTAGAGTTCCGACTTCTTTACTGAGCGTCGCGTCGCATCCCCTTCCCAGCCCCCGCCCCCTTCCAACCCCGGCGTCCCCCTGCGGCCCTGTGGAACCACCGCCCAATGCCACTTCCGCCCCGATGATGTCATTCAGCGTCGCGTCGCCCGCCCCTTCCCCGCCCCCCCCCTCTCTCAAGCGTACCCTTGCGGCCCAGTGGAACCTCCGCCCAGTGCCCCCCCCCCGCCCCGACCACTTCATTCCGCGTCGCGTCGCCCCCCCGCCCGCGGCGCTCCCCCGCGCCCAATGGAACCCCCCTGGCGCCCCCTCCGCCCCGACAGTTTCATTCCGCTTCGTCGCACCCCCCTAGCCGCCTACGCCCCCCCCCCCCCTCCCCCCCTCCCGAGCGTCCCCCGGCGGCCCAATGGAACCTCCGCCCAGCGCCCTTCCCGTTCGGACCTTTCTACCCCGCTTCGCGTCGCGCCCCCCCCCCCTTCCCCCCCCGCCCCCCCCCGCTCCCGCTTGCCCCCCCCCCTCTCTTCCATGTGCAAGAGCCGCGACGCGCGCGCGCGTCCAGGCTGGCGGAACCACATTTTCACCAGCGGCCCGCGCAGACCCCCGCCCAGTTCCCCTTTCCGCCCCGACCACTTTATCGCGCGTCGCGTCGCACCCCCTTCCCTGCCCCCGCCCCCCCACCCCATCCTGTCCCCGGCGTTCCCCAGCGGCCCGCTGCCCCCTCCGCCCGACCATTTCATTCCGCGTCGCGTCGCACCCCCCCCCAGCGTTCCCCCGCGCCCCAGTGGAGTCCCCGCTCAGCGCCCCCTCCGCCCCGACCACTTTATTCCGCGTCGCGTCGCGCCCCCCCTGCACCCCCCTCTCAGCGCCCCCCAGCGGCCCGGCGCACCCTCCGCCGTCGCGTCGCGCCCCCTTCCCAGCGACCCCCCGCGCCCCAGTGGAACCCCGGCCCAATGCCCCCTCCGCCTCGATCATTTTATTCCGCGTCGCATCGCCCCCCCACCCCCTCATCCCCCTGCCGCCCCCCCTCGCCAGCCTTCTCTCCTGCGGACCAATGCGCTTTCCGCCCCGACAACTCTCCGCGCCGCGCCCCCCCCGCGCCCCTGTGGACCCCCCGCCCCAGCGGAAGCCCCGTGGAACCCCCGCCCTGTGATTCTGCGCGAGTGCGTCGCGCGGCTCGACGGCGGCGCCATGAGGTCGCCGAGGCAGTGCCCAGGGAGCCAGGCGCCGTGGAAATCGTCGACGATCGCGGCGCAGATGACCCAGAGGAAGATGCTGAGCCCGCGGGGGCGCCCAAGGTTGAGCGCCTCAAGCGAGAGGCCGCCCCCCCCGCAGCTCTCGCGCATCTGCCGAAGACCCCTGTTGTGAGGTTGTGGAGCTCTCTTGGATTGCCTGGAAGCTCTTTCGGATGGTTGTGGGGCGATTTGGGAGCCTCCCAGGCGGTCTCGGACACCCAGGAGACCGCCGGTCGTCGTGGACCGTATTGGAGCTCTCTCGGTCGTTTCGGGAGCGCGCCGGAACGCATGGCACCCGTCTGGGGCCGTCTTCGGGCACTCGTGAGGTTCTCCCGGGTCGTCTGGAGGGTTGTCCGGAGGCCCCGGGAGGGCAATTTTTTGGGGGGGGGGGGGGCTTTTTCTGGCGTCCCCAGCTTTATACAAATATATGAATAGGAGTATGTGCAAACATACAGATATACCAACACACACCATACCGTACCATAGCACATAATGCCGACCAATCTCATACAGCATGCAAATTACATACATGCATGCCTGCGTACGTACACACACTCATACATGCACACATACAAACAAGCATACATATATGCATATCCTGTACAAGCATACATACATACATACATACATACATACAAACATACCTACCTACATACATATATACATACATACATACATACATACATGAATACATACATACATACATACATACATACATACATACATACATACATGTGTATACACATTCACCATACAACCAAACAAACAACCACCAAACAAACAAACAATCAATACTTCACACACAAACACACAAACATACATACATGCATACATACATGTATACATACATACATTCATACAGACATGCACACCTACACACCTTTAGGCATACTTACATGCATTCATTCATACACACAGTATACAAACATACATACATACATGCATGCATACATGCATACATACACGCGCGCACATACATACATACATGGCTGCATGCATACATACATGCATATACACACATACATTCATACACTCATGCATGTATGCATACATATACACATCCATTCACGTATACGCACATACATGCTGTGTATATGCATGTGTGCACCAGCACAGCTATGTATATATACATTCAGATGTGCACGCGTACAAATACGTTCGTTCCTGTGTCTGTATATATGAACGCGTATGTGTTTCCCGATATACTCATGCATGTACATGCGCGCGCGTTTGATTGGCATGCGTGCCGCAAGAGGAGGGATGATAAGTGGCAGGAACGTCCGAAGGCCACGGCTGGCAGGGCAGGCGGCGCGAGCACGGCACACCTACAGCAGAAGCCACGCGGTGCTTGCGTCGGGATGGCATGCAGCAGCAGGCAGGCGGAGGGAGCCTTCGGAGGAGCACGGGGGGAGGAGGCGGAGGTAAAGAGAAGCCGCTGGCTCGCTTCGCGCCGCGTCCTGCCCTGGAGCGCCCGCCCCCTGGCCCCCAAGCATGCGCATGCCGCATGCGTCGGGCTCTGGGGCCGAAGGCTGGCGACGCCCGAGCTTGCAGCTCGAGCATGTCGACGAACGGACAGAGTTTACTGCACGAGGGAGATCCGTGAATAGCCGCGTCGGCTCAATTTTGCTCCACCCTAGCAAATCGAACGTACCAACTTCTCTCCCGATCTGTTACTCAACGCAGCTAGGACCGGCGCCCGGATCCGGCATTGTGAAGCTCACTCGACGCAGAGACCATCCGCTGGCATTCAGCTGCCACCCTAGATTCCGTTCACTCATTTCGGGCGAAGAGAACTATGCACGTGCACCGATCCTGACAACGTCCATCCTGGACCCAGGATCGGTGCATATACCTCCCTGGCCCAGGTAAGAGGGCGTGTGCACCGATCCTGGGCTCAGGATGGGCCTGGCCAGAATCGGTGTCTGTGCACAGTGCTCTTTCCTCTATCATTGAAGACATGGCCGCCTCCGCGGCGCACCCCATTTGCGAGGAGACTGGTGCGGTCTTCGACACGCTTTTGGCGATGGCGCTGTTCGTCCTCGGCTACGTCCTCTTCTCGCCGAGCCTGCGCCTGGCGTTGGCCTGCGCCTTCGGGAACACCCTGGAGCTTTTGTTGCCGCTGCTCCCGGGCAGCGTCCGCGCGAGGGTGCCGAAGGTGCTGCGTGCAGCAACTCCTCGCGCAACCAGGAGACCGTTTCGGCGATGCAGTCGGCCCGCAGAGGAAGGACAGGCATCCCTCCCAAGGGCACCCTTGCATCCTTGCTTCCTGGGTCCATCCTTGGACACTTCCGTCGGCCGCGCCCCGCTCGAAGCGCCTCGACATGGGCGCCCAGGGGCCTTGCATCCTCATCGCGCATCCTCACTCTGCGGGTTGACTGCACAGTCGGGTCGCTGAAGAAGGAGCCCTTTTTGTCGGGGAGGGGCTCCGCGTTCCTTCAGTGTTTCGCGGCTTGCCTCAGGGTTTTCCTCGTGTGCTCGATATGAAATCGAAGTTTAACGTATGGAAAAAAAGGGGCCTCGTTCCCTTTTCAGGGTTCCTTAGGTCAACGCCCCGACTGTAACCCAGGTCATCGGTCGCAGCGTGCCTCAGGTTGTCCTTAGGTTTTCGATATTAAATCGAATTTTAACGTATGGAAAAAAAGGGGCCTCGTTCCCTCTTCAGGGTTCCTTAGGTCAACGCCCCGACTGTAGCCCGGGTCACCGGTCCCGCTTGCTGCCCCCCCCTCCCCCCCCCGGGTAGCTTGACCCTGTGAGCTGCGCAGGTCCGAAGGGGCACAGTCGAGGCCCTGAAGCAGGAACCCTTTTCGTGGGGGAGGGGCTCCGCGTTCCTTCCGTGTTTCGCCGCTTGCCTCAGGTTTTCCTCGTGCTTTCGATGGGGGATCGAAGTTTAACTTGTTGAAAAAAAGGGGCCTCGTTCCTTATTTAGGGTTCCTTAGGTCAACGCCCCGACTGCACGCAGTACTGGCGCGCGCGGGCATGCGTGGGGCTGCCCTACGCGAACAGGCTCAGCAATCGGCCAGCGCCTCCCTTCCTTCCCCCCAACGGATAGCCCAGGCTATCCTCGAGAAATATAACGATCGGGGGTGGACAGAACCCCCAACAGTGACACGTCGATTAGTGAATAGTCCGTTTTCGGTTCTCGAGAGGGCGCCGCGGCCGTTATTTTCCAGGACTGCGCCCGCCAGGTTTGGGCCTCAGGTCGTTTTCACTAAACCACGTTTTACTAAAGGGGGGTCTGTCCATCCCCGATATAGCGAGAACTCCAGGACCGGCGCGCTGGTGGTCCCCATGGTCCCCCCCTGCAGCATCGTCCATGCGTGAGTGCCCCTCGGCCTGGACTGGCGCTGCAGCGATGCGGGCCCGATGGCCGCGAATCATCTCGCTTCCGCCTCGTGACGTGGGCCAGCCCCCGGCCAGTTCTCGGATTGCCGAGCGCGTCGGCATCTCTCCGTCGCCCCTGAGGGACACTGAGCCACCCGATGAGTGGCGATAATCCCTTGGTGATGCCGCGGTGCTTACGCTTTGGCTTTCCTTGCGGTGGGGCCCTCGCAACCAGGAGAGAGAAAGAGGGCGGGGGGGGGGAGCGAAAAAGGGGGCAGGTGGGAGTCGCTAGTCGATTACTCGCCGCCCCGCCTCCGCCTTGGCGCCCGCCGTTGCCAGACGGAGAGCGCGTGCCCCCGACGACTTCTGGCATGCCGCCGCGGCCCCCACTGGGCGCCGCCACCCGGCGCACGGTGTTTGAACAACTGGGGCGGTCGCCCGGGCGGGCCAGCAGAGGGGAGGGCGATCACAGACGACGGAGAGGGAGGAGCGGGAACGGCTTGCGCGTGGAATATCCACAAGCCCCGTCTGTGTGCAGAGTCTCGCTGGCCGTTGTGGCTTCAGAGTCTGACATAGGCACACAGCGCGCTCTGTTTGCAAGGGCTGCGGCAGACTTTTATGTATGGCTCCACGGCCCAGGACACCGATTCTCAGCATTCCAGGGGGGAGACTGGGCGACGCCGAGGTGACCGTGCTTAGCGGCGCACGAGATAGGGGGGCGGGGCGATGGCCCTCAGTACCTTCGTGCGAAGGCAGGAGGCTTCTCATGAAGGGGCTGGCGGCTTGGAAACAGTGCGCCCAACGCCTTCCAGGGGGAGGGGGGGCTCCTGTCACAGAGGCCCCCGTGACCCTGCCCCCTTACATCTGCGCTGCCGCAAGTCTGGGAATGCCAACTGCACACCGGCGCCTGTCATGGCCAGACCAGCCCAGGACCAGGATCGGTGTGGAGGCCTTCCTGTCGGCCAGGCCATGAGTGCGTACTACGTGCGTACCTGTAGACCGATTCTGGGCACAGCTTGGGCACGGCGGGGGTCGGTGTCGGTGTCCGGTTCCGCCGCGTAAACGGGGGCCGATTGCGCGGACATCTGCGGGCCAGCTGGCTGCGTCAGGTTCCGCGCGTGCGCCTTCTTGTTCACGCGGTGTGCCGCGCTGGCGGTTGGCGCAATGTCAGCCTGTGATTTCAAGGCTGATGAATATACACCGAAGGGCGTAAGACTATGTTCTAATCGCGCGCGCCAGGTGGGTCGTCGCGGGCGCCGCCGAGGGATCGTGTACCCCCGCGCACGGCAGCCTCAACACGATTACCTCCCGTATAGAATTTGCAACTGGCATCGTATACATTCGAAGCGAGCTGTTTCCTTTTCAGACTGACCACTGACGTGCCACATTCGTTGTTGTGGTCGTCGTCGTTGTCGTTGTCGTCGCCGTCTACCACCCCACCCCACACCCACCCACCCGCCAGGGAGCATCCCTAGCGCCGTCGTCGTCCGTCGTCGTCGTTGCCGTCGTCGTCGACCACAGCGGGCCTGCGCGGCTCCGACCCCCCGCCGTCGTCGATTACAGCGGGCCTCCACAGCCCGCCCCCCCGCCGCATGGGGCATCCACACTGCGTCGTCGTCGTTGCCGTCGTCGTCGCCGGCGCCGTCGTCGTCGTCGTCGTCGTTTTCGTTGTGGTCGTCGTCGTCGTCGTCGTCGTCGGTGGTTGTCGTCGTCGTCGTCGTCGTAATCGTCGTCGTCGTCGTTGACTACAGCGGGCACGCACACACATACACACACACACCCACACACACACTATAAGGCATCCGCAGTGCATCATCATCGATCTTCGTCGTCGTCGTCAACAACAGCGGGCCTACTCAGTACCCCCCCGTCCATGGGGCATCCACATTGCGTCGTCGTTCGTCGTTCGTCGTCGTCGTCGCTATCGTCGTCATCGGCTACCGATTCGACTACATCCAGCCTGTATAGCCCCCCATAAAGCATCCGCAGTGCGTCGTCGTCGTCATCGTCGTCGTCGATCGCCGCGATCGCCGGTCGTGGGTCGTCGGTCGTCGTTCGTCATTGTCGTCGGTCGTCGTTGCCGTCGTGGTCGCCATCGACTACCGACTCGACTACGGCGGGCCTATGCAGCCCCCATTAGAGCATCCGCTGTGCGTCGTCGTCGTCGTTGGCATCGTCGTCGACCACAGCGGGCCTACGTAGCACCCACCAACCCCCCCCCACCCTTCATGGGGCATCCGCAGTGCGTCGTCGTCGTTGTCGTCATCGGCGGCGGCGGCGTCGTCGTCGGCGTCGCCGTCGGCGTCGACGTCGGCGTCGGCGTCAGCGTCGGTGTCGGCGTCGTCCTCGTCTGTCGTCGTCGTCGTCGCCGTCGTCGTCGTCGTCGTCGTCGTCGTCGTCGTCGCCGTCGCCGTCGCCGTCGTCGTCGTCCACGGCGGCCCTGCGCATGGGCCCCCCTTCCCATCGGCATCTGCAGCGTGCACTCGCGTAGTCGGTCGTCCCGCCGTCGGCCCTGTCGCCATCGCCGGCGTCGACCACAGCGGGCCCGTCCACGCAGCATTCCCCCCATATGATACATTGTGGTGGAGGGGGGAAGGGTGAAAGGGTGAAGGAGGAGGAGGAGGACGAGGAGGAGGAGGAGGAGGAGGAGGAGGAGGAGGAGGAGGAGGAGGAGCCGTTGCCGTCTGCCTCTCGCGCGCGCTTCGTCGCGCGCGCATGCCGAAATCATTCAAAAACTTGCGGTTTCGAAAAGTTTTCAAAATCGATTGCCCAACAAACATGCAAAATTGCAGGGTTTCGCAACGCGGACTTTTTGTAAGAAAAATGAGAAAGACGCGTGCGCGCGCGCTCCGGCGACTTCTCAAGAAAATGCAACCAAGCGGTTTTCGCGCGCACATGTGGGAATCGTTCGAACACCCTTGCGCGCGTGCCGTCGCGAGAATCCGGCGCAACAAATGAGACGAAGAGCACGCTCGCGCGCGTCGTCGCGCGCGCATGCCGAAATCTCGGCTTCGAAAGGCTTCCAAAACGAATGTCGAACAGACGTTCGCAAACATATGGTATCGCAACATCAGCTTTCAATATCTATATATATATATATATATACATACATATAAATGTACATACCTACATATACAAATCTATGTCTATATATACATACAGTTATATATATATATATATATATATATATATATAACACAACATTTGCGCGCGCTCTCGCGCATTCTTGAACAAATAATTCGAAGAACTAATATTGTTTAGCATGTTCATGGATTTCTGCCAGGCGGGCCTCTGGCGTCGCATGCCGACATTATTCGCGCGCCCTTGCGCGCGTGCTGGGGGGGGGGCGCGCGATCCGTGCCAAGTAAGACTGCGCGGGCCATTCGCTCGCGTCGGCCGCGCGCGCATGTCGAGCTCTTCCAAAACCAGCATCGGCGCCCGCACTGGCCGCGCCTTCGTCGGTGTTAACATCGTCACCAGCACCGCAACTATAATCATTGTGTCTACCGTTGTCGGCGTTGCCATGGTACCGCGCCCGCCCAGGTCGCCGACTCGCAGTGAAGCGCCCGCTGGGATGCGCCCAGCGGTCAACGCCACCGCGGCGGCGTCGGCGGCGCCAAATTAGCTGGCCGCTGCGCGCGCGTGCTAGGGTTGGCGCGGCCGCAGAGATGGACCAGCCAACGCCAAGCATGCATCGCAATCACCACCGCGCTAATTCTCATCCTTAAATAGGGCCCCCCCCGCCCCCGGCTTTATCGGTCAACTCTTTCGTGTTGCAATTTACATGAGATTCTGTCCCATCGCCCCTCCGAAATGCAAATCCATACCATCCCAGCCCAGCCGGTTTCGATCCCCCCCGTCATCCTCTGCCCAAAAAATACGCGCGCTCGTTTCACGCAAAGTATTAACAGTTTCCATGACCCGCTTGCAAAACAAATAACCGAAGTGCACACGCGCGCGTCGTCGCGCGCGCATGCCGAAATCCTTCGAGAACCCTTGGTGCCGGAAGGATCTCAAAATCGAGTGTCCGAAGATCGCATAAAGAATACATGGTCTCGCAACGCGGATTTTCAGAACAAGCGTGCGCGCGCGTTCTTGCGAATTCTTAAGAAAACCATCGTTTGTTCAACATCCTCAGAAGATACTGCCAAACAAGCTTCGCGCGCGCATGTCGAAATCGCTCGAACGCCTCTGCGCGCGCGCCGTCGGGAGAATCTTTCGCGAAAAATCGGAGAAGCGCATGCGCGCGCCATCGCGCGCGCGCGCGGAAATCCTTCAACCACTTTCGGTTTGCAGCGTTTGCAAAACCGAATGTTCAAAAAAAAAAAAAAAAAAAGTCGAACACACAAGGTTTCGCAAAATCAGTTTTCCGAAAAGCTCGCGCGACCGCTCTTGCGACTTCTTCGGAACAAACCAATGGTTGACAACATTTTCATGGACTTCTCGCAAACGGGCTTCTGGCACCGCATGCCGATATCATTCGCACGCCCGCGCGCGCGCACTGGGGGGGGTGGGGGGTCCGCGCCGCATAAACCATGCGGGCCATTCTCGCGCGTCGGCCGCGCGCGCACGTCGAACTCGCCGACGCGAGGAAGCCGTCGTCGTCGCCGGCGCGATCAGCATCGGCGCCCGAACTGGCCGCGCCGTCGTCGGTGCGAACATCGTCACCAGCGCCGCCGCTATCACCATCGCGTCTACTGCAATCAACGTTGCCATAATACCGCGCCCGCCCAAGTCGCCGACTCGCAGTGAAGTGCCCGCTGGGATGCCCCCAGCGGTCAGCGCCACCGCGGCCGCGTCGGCCTCGCCAAACAAGGTGGCCGCTGCGCGCGCGTGCTACGGTCGGCGCGGCCGCGGGGATGCACCAGCCAACGACAGGCATGCATCGCAATCGCCACCGCGTGGGTTTTGCAGACTAAGTTGCGGGTGGGTGGGTGGGACGGTTGCAAGAGCATGGAACGTGGCCACTCATGGTAAAACTGAATTGCACCTCGTAGCTT